CACAGGACTCCAGAAGGACTAGAAATAAAATTCAGAAACAACAGTTATTGGGTACTGGGTAGAAACTCTACAAGCAGGTATTCAGACCAGTTTGGACTTATGGTGTAACAACTTTGGGGCTGCTCAAGCCCTAGCATTGTTGCACAAATCCAGCGATTCCAAAATAAAGTTTTGAGATGCGCCGTCAATGATCTTGAACGCGATGTCGGAATTGACTAAGTTGCCGCCTCAATCTACAAATATGCAAAGTCTCATATGGGAAGACTTTCTGAACATATGAACACTCTCTAATCGTTCAAATAAATGGAAAGAAAGACGTATCAGCTTATACAGTAGCCAGATCCTCTGCAATTTATACTCAGAGCAATATTTATTATTTTGTCTTACACGATAAGCAAAACAAATTGTTCATTAGTTCATTTTATGTTAAATAGTTAGAATGGCAATGAAATGAAAAAAAATACAATATTTTAAATAAACCGAATAAAATCCTGGAGCAATGGCATTTAAGACTTGATGAAAGCACAAGCATTGAAAGAAAAAAACATTGAACCTAACAAAACTTCAAAAACTAATTTATTTAAAATAGAAATAAAAAAGGAAAATACTCTTATTGTTTTAGTGAAAAATTATGTCCCGTAAAAGTAATAGGACTGACAAGCGAATCTGTTTGTTCGTTATATTTAAGATGTTGAAAACTACTTTGAAGAACCTTTAGAATCCTCATCTGGTTTTTGTATTTTAGTGGTTAAGTTGCTTGTGGCTTGTTTACAAATATTTCTCTATTCCAAATGAGGGCAMGTTTCTCCTCATTTCCATTCWACATCCTTYATTACACAAATTTTTAAATTTGTATTCTTTAAGGTATTGATGTATATTTTGTCTCGACTCATTTAATTACATTTTGTGAAATATTTGAAAAATAATTTTGATATTGCCAATTTTTCTTTCTCAATCAGATGGAAAATGTATTTGAGGAGATTGCCTTGGAGGACTGCATCACATCGTCTTCAACTCCAGCAAAAGGTATGCAGATAATTGTAAACTTACAGTATTTCTCCTTTAAGTTAGTGCCATATTTTTGTTACTGAAGAGCAATTTCCTTTGAACCGAAAAAAATTTAACACTTCAGGTTGCTTAATGCAGAGGCCAGCCATGCAAAACGATCTGTAGATGGTAACGGTAATCTAACACCCATATAATTTATTTCTTTAAATTTGTTCATTTTGTTGTATTTCTACTCTTTTCCAGACGTTATTGATATGTTAACCACAACAACCACAAGCGAAATCGCTTCCATCCTGCCATTGAACACGCTTACTGAAGCTTTGGAAATGGACGAAAGATTGAAATGCGACGAATTTGCTACTACAATATTAAGTAATACATATATAATTTTTTTCAATAAACAATATTTATATTTTTACATATTTTATATGGTAAATTTTATTTTTCAATTTTACTTAAAAGAATATTTTTAATTTGTATTTTTTTCAATCCGTTATTTTATATATTCTTGCAAAACTTATGGCTTGGTAACTTATGAAAAACATGTTTGGAGAACCATTAAAATGAGCCACCATGAGGCACATGCAAAAAATTTATAGAAAGAGAAAAACTGAGGACATTTAAGTATATATAATATTATTAACTTATGAATATATACCATATTTATCAAATTAATGTGAATTCAAATATCAAAAGAAATATTTAATTTACAAAATGTAATTTTTGTTAAAATTAATTAAAAAAACTGAATAATTAAAAAAATTAATACAAAACAAAATCTTTTATTTTGGGATTCGAACTCGAGCCTCCAAAATACCAAGCCATGTCCTTAAACAACATGCTAATAAGGCATGCATCGTCGCGTTTTCCTGAAAGTATAAAGTTTTATTGTAGCAGAAAATGTGTGCTCAAGAAGGTGATAAAAAATCACACGAATTCAAAAGTTTTGGGAAGTTTCTTGATTCGCCCTTAAGAACGTGATAGGAAAGAGTGACAATTAAACCGGTTATTTGCATGACACTAGGAACCATGGTAAAAGGGAGTAGGGAAAGTGGCTGTTTACACCCCTTAAACTACCCTCCAAGTGCACGTTTACAATAAAAAATAAAGGCCACCTCTGGTAAATAACGGTGGCGAGAGTTTAAAACGGGTTGCGTAAAACGAAAATACTATAACATTTAATTATGTATTATAGTACTACATACAAACATTTATAAATACTATTTTTATCCTTTGTTATAGAGTAAAGCTTATAGCTGTTATCAAAAAATTAATTATACCTTCATGTGCTGTATAAGTTTTTAAATAAATATGACTCTTAAAGAAATTATTTTTTTGAATTTGCAATATACATACACATATATAGTAGTAAAAAATTGTTTAAATTAGCTTACGCAGCACTATTTCGCCATGCTCAATAGCAATACTGGTATAATATTTGAAAATACTCAAACGGACGGACGGATTATTTTAAAAGTAAGTTATTTACGTTTTTATTATAATTAGTATTTTGTTATTATTTTTCATAGATCAATTTCTTGCCGTTCAGATCGATATAATGGTTGGTATTTCTTTATATAAGTTATATATATAAATTATATCCAAATACTAATTGAAACTTTTTTACAGAAAGAAAATGCCACGCAAGTGTATTGTGGATTGTAAATGCTCGTTAGGACTCCACGAATTTCCTAGGGAACGAGAAATGCCCAGGTAAGTAGAATATTAAATTTTATATTCTTATTAATATCATCATTGAATGTTATTGCAAAATCGACGGGATTAAATAAATAATTGTGCAAATTCTGACATCTTTCCGTGCTGCGTTTTGGAAGTTCTGCGCGGACATACCAAAATAACATTTCATCTTGTCAAAAAAGTCTTGCGGTATTTTTTATTGAATTTTCAATTGTTCATAAAATTTTTTTTGATGTCCAGCTCTTGGCCGATGATACGGCTGCTACTATGCCGGCCGGTCTCTTTCGACCAATTCAGCGATTTTATCGCAATTTTCGACGACAGGCCTTGCGGAACGTGGCGCATCTTCGACCACCTTTACACCAGGACGAAAACGTTGAAACCATCGTTATGCGGAGGAAATGGAAACTGTATCGGGTCCATAAACAACACAAATTTTATTGGCGGCTTGAAAAATATGCCCTATTTTCTCTTTATATTGCTCCATGTTTGCGATGTTATAACTCACGAACGACTTAAAAGAAACGACAAACGACCAATGAAACACGTGTTAGCGCGTGAAATGAGCTTTCCAAAAATGTATAGTATGATCAGATGCGACAAATAAAACTAGGACTACGCACTCTCAGCGCCAACTAGCGAAAATACCGCAAGACTTTTTTGACAACCTAATATAAGACTAGTGGATCCGGCCACGCGTTGCTGTGGTATACATTTTATACTTTTATTCATATCGTCATCTGAAATGCAAAATAACATGCACATGAGTGGAACTAAATTTAAATATTGGTTAAAACTGGATTATATCTAATAGCAGAACCTTAAAATTCTGGAATAAGTACATAATACAAGGTGCGTTCCAAACTAAACAGGACTTAAAAAAAAACAGAACAAATGTTTTTTTCGGCATAATCAATTGATTTTATACAAAGTTGTCTCCTTCTGCGCCAATACAGCTTTTTCCATTGCGCAAAAGCATGTCGAACGAGTGTTTTAGCTCGTTGGCCGGTATGCCGCCAGTATGCCGGTGCAAGCCTTTTGAATGGCCTCACGTATGCATAACGCTTTCCTTTCATGGGCAAATGCATTTTTTCGAAAAGGAAGAAGTCACACGCTGCCATATCAGGTGAATACGGGGACGCGTTAATGGTTGAAATGTGATTTGTGGTGAAATAATCGGTCAAAGTCGTCAATCGAATATTGGATTCTGAACAGTTTTTGGTCGTCATTCAATTTGTGCGGAACCAACTGTGCACACAACTTTCGTAGGTCCAAATGTTCGGTCAAAATGCGGCAAATCAATATTTTGTAGATTTAATGTTGGCTCTTTATTCGAAGCTCATTTTCGCACCGATAACTCAAAAATACTGACACTTACAACGCAATAACTTCACTTCCAATAAATGCAATGCAATGAAACACTCAATCGGTAAGTTGGAGCGAACGACATCGCAAATACATTCGCGATCGATACGTTCCATATGTAGCTCACCAATTTAGCTTTCAATTGGAAAGGAAGGATAGCAACGAAGGCATAACGACGGTATCCCCACCAATTTTCATCATTACACATAACCTTTGGTCTGCAAGGTGGGTGTTGAGTGCTTAGCATATTACAAAGTATGTAAATTCAATTTTGCTCAAAACCTACCCAACAGCTTGATAAACCTGACCATCAGTATCGGGATCCTCAGAGCAATTGACAATAGCTTGTGCAACATCGGACACAAACATCGGTTTTTTCACAGTACGTTCGCCCGCAAACCAGAGTGACATGGCACGGAATTGGCGTCGCCAAATTTGGGTATAGTATCGTTGGATACGATCTTCCGAAACATAGATATCAGCTGGCCTAATAATGGTGGCCTATGGGAATTCATCACGATCAGCACATTCACTGTAGTACTTGCTTTTCAAAAAGTTGCTGCCACCCTAAAGCACAAAGCTCATTGGTTTTGGACTAGCGTTTATAGCAGACAAGTGAATCAAACGTTCTCCACCAGCTTCTTTGCTGATTCTAAAAACAAAAATGAATAAAGTTTAGTGTTTGTTTGCCCCATAAAGCGAAGTGCACCTTCCGTGTGCCTATCATTGAATTTARAATTTGTAGTTCGAATTCACGACCAACTAAGTTGATAACTACATTTGAGTACTTCACAGCATCGCGTATCGCCTTTTCATCTATTAATTCATAAAGTTGGAACAACGCCTGACTCATTACGCAACAGTATATACGAGTCCATGTTTGGTTATTTCGTACTTTTATTGGAAAAAATCCTAGTCGTTCTGTTATTTATCCTCCAAAGGAAAATTTTCAAACACTCCCTAATAAAAATTACTTGTACCTTGTACAATGATCGATATATTGAGCTTCGGTGTTATAAGTTTATTCTCATACGTTTAGATAATTTATACAGCTTCCAGATTAGAATCAAACAAATTGTCTTACAAAAATATAAATTTGGCTGTGAATGAGCATATTGTGGACCCCACTGTTCGGCATGGTTGCTTATGTGTTCGTAACATTCAGACGAGTAATCGCCATTTGACCTTCTTCATGGTCGGGCAATGGAACTGTGGCAGCACTGCGCCGTTGTATGCGCTATCTACCGCATGTAACCTTTTATAATTGAATTGCCATTTTGTAACACTTACTTACTTGTTTGATATTGAATAAAGCATGAGCACATCGCAGTATAAGTTGCGTTCATCAGTAGCGATGTCAGAACTGGAAGGACTAAAAGTAGAACTTCTTGATCTCCGGCGCGTACAAAAAGAACTTATGGCCCAACAGGTTTCATCTGTGCCAAATAGCAGTGTTCAAGGCGTCCCTATTTCTGCTTTCAACAGGAGTCATCCTAATTTGTGGTTTACACAAATTGAGCGCATATTTAGACTAACGGATGCAGATCAATTCGATGTGGTGGCCACACACTTGGAAGACGAAACTTTACTCGCCGTAGATGATCTCCTGATTCATCCCCCAAACGACAATAAATACATAGCTCTGAAAAGCTGTAGACTGGAAAAATTCGGCGATTCTAATCAGAGTAAATTACACCGATTGTTGAAAGGCGACGAATTTGTGGATATGCAAATGCGTCGACAGGCACCAGATCAAGATGACTTCATCCGTCTGTTATTCCTTCAACGGCTGCCGAAAAAACAGTACGACTATGGTTGAGTGTGGCAACGGATAACCTAAGCAGCATCGCCTCAATGGCCGACAAAATGCTCGAGTCAATTGCAACGCCCGAAGTTCACTCTATTGGTAATGCTCAGCAGGACGAAGTCCAAGCCGTACATAAAGCCAATCCACTATCTGAACTGAGCGCAGCAATTGAGTCAATGAAAAATAAAATCGCATTCCTTGAAAAGAAGTCACAGTCCTGCAAATGCAGTGGATCTGTACACCCTCAAGATGGTCAGCTTTGTTATTTTCATAAACGCTTTGGCAATGCTGCTCGTAAGTGCCGTCCAGGCTGTCTACGCTCATCTTCGGAAAACTAAGTCGGCTGTCATCAGCTTTGCTTGTTGACGGCAGCTTAGACGTTACAAAGTCAACTACGACCTCACAGCGGGCCCAATATTGTTTAAATCATATTCCCGAAAGCAGATTAATTTTCAACGATCTCCAATC